TCCAACTACCAGCAACTAGGTATAGCATCAGGCTGTACCTAGTGGATAGCTAGGGAAGCTATTTTATACAGTAAGTAGCCAAGTTGGCCAGGATTTGATTTGATGTTTCTTTTGGTTTGACGTTTTTCTGTAAATATTGTAAATAAACTGCACCTTTTTGTTTTTCACCTCCACTCTTGTTGTGCTGTGCCTGTGTTTTTGTGTTGTGCACCCATCCAGGGGGTCACACACACCCGCTGCCGAGAGAACCCCGTTACATACAGTTGCAAGAAAAAGTATGTGAACCCGTTGGGATTACGTGGAGTTTTGCATGAATTGGGCATTAAAATGTGCTCTGAACGACATCTAAGTCACAACAATAGAAGAACACAGTCTGCTGAACATAATACTACACAAACATTAGATGTTGCCATGGTTTAATTGCATATAACATGTAAACATTCACAGTGCAGGTAGGAAAAAGTATGTGAGGCCCTAGCTTAATGACTTCTCCCAGAGCTAATTGGAGCCAGGAGTGAGCCAACCTTGACTCCAATCAGTGTGATGATATTGGATGTGTTGCTGACAGCTGTCCTGCCCTTAAAAAAAACACACCTGTTTTGGGTTTACTGGTTTCAAGAAGCACTGTCTGATGTGAACCATGCCTCGCAGAAAAGAGCTCTCAGAAGACCTACGATCAAGAATTGTTGACTTGCATGAACCTGGAAAGGGTTACAAAAGTATCTCCAAAAGCCTTGATGTTCATGTGTCCACGGTAAGACAGACTGTCTACAAATGGAGAAAGTTTAGCACTGTTGCTACTCTCCCTAGGTGTGGTAGTCTTGTAAAAATGACTGCAAGAGCACAGCGCAGAATGCTGCATGAGGCAAAGAAGAATCCCAGAGTGTCAGCTAAAGACCTACAGAAATCTCTGGCACATGCTAACATTTTTGTTGACACATCTACAATAAGGAAAACATTAAACAAGAATGGAGTACATGGGAGGACACCACGGAGGAAGCCATTGCTGTCCAAAAAGAATATTGCAGCATGTTTGAAGTTTGCAAAAGAGCACCTGGATATTCCACAGCACTACTGGCAAAATATACTGTGGACAGATGAAACCAAGATTGAGTTGTTTGGGAAGAACACACAGCACTATGTGTGGAGAAAAAAAGGCCCAGCACACCAACATCAAAACCTCATCCCCACTGTAAAACATGGCGGAGGGAGCATCATGGTTTGGGGCTGCTTTGCTGCCTCAGGGCCTGAACGGATTGTTGTCATTGATGGGAAAATGAATTCCAGAGTTTATCAAGACATTTTGCAGGAAAACGTACGACCATCTGTCCACCAACTGAAGCTCCGCAGAGGATGGGTGATGCAACAGGACAATGACCCAAAGCATACAAGTAATTCAACAAAACAATGGCTGCAACAGCACAGAATACGCCTTCTGGAGTGGCCCAGTCAGAGTCCTGACCTCAAACCGATTGAAATGCTGTGGCATGACCTTAAGAGAGCGATTCACACCAGACATCCCAAGAATTTTGCTACGCTGAAACAGTTTTGTGAAGAGGATTGGTCCAAAATTACTCCAGATCATTGTGCAGGTCTGATCTGCAACTACAGGAAACATTTGGTTGAGGTTATTGCTGCCAAAGGAGGGTCAACCAGTTATTAAGTCCAAAGGTTCACATACTTTTTCCTCCCTGCACTGTGAATGTTTACATGTTATGTGCAATTAAACCATGGCAACATCTAATATTTGTGTAGTATTATGTTCAGCAGACTGTGTTCTTCTATTGTTGTGACTTAGATGACGTTCAGAGCACATTTTATGCCCAATTCATGCAAAACTCCACGTTTTCCCAAGGGGTTCACATACTTTTTCTTGCAACTGTATGGTGGAGGACTGCAGGCAGTTCGTGGTAACTAAAGGCCAGCATGGAGGAGATAATAAGACAGTTGGCTTTGGCGAATGCCAATCAACAGCAGGCAAATGCCAATCAACAACAGGCAAATGCAAGTTTCCAGCAGAGCATTGCAGCCCAGCAGAAAGCCTTGGAACAAGCAGAGGCCCGCCATAAGGAATTGCTGGTGCAGCAGTTCCAGAGACACCAGCAACAAATTGAGGCTGTCTTGAAGCAGCTCTAGCAGAGGCAGCAGACTGAGGCTGGTGATGATTCTGGTAAAACACCATCAAATTTTGTGGGCCGTTTATTGCTAAAAATGACTGGAGATGATGATCCTGAGGTGTTTCTAACCACATTTGAAAGGACTGCTGAAAGGGAAAAGTGGCCTAAAGAACAGTGGGCTGGATTGATGGCCCCATTATTAACTGGGGAGGCGTAAAAAGCTTATTATGACCTGGAGCTGGACCAAGCCAAAGACTATGATGTGCTGAAAGTGGAAATTTTGGCCCAATTGGGTGTTACCCTCGCTGTCCGTGCTCAGTGTGTACATAATTGGACTTTTCGGCTTGGGAAACGTCCCAGGTCACAGATGTATGATCTCATTCACCTGAGCAGGAAGTGGCTGCCGCCAGAGACTTTGGCCGCCCCAAAAATTGTGGAACGGGTCGTTATGGATGGGTTTCTAAGGTCTCTGAGACCCAGAGACAGCAGACAAGCTTGTGGATCTAGTGGAGAGATACTTGGCTACGGAGAACCTGACCTTCTCTTCCAGAGACTCACAGACTTTCCACCCTAAGACCAGACCATCCCCAGTGGCGGGTAAGATGATTCCAAGGGGTGAGGGTGGAGAGAGTGAGAGGGTGGGAGTATTACCCAATGTCTGGCAAGAGCAGCCAGGAAGGTCAAGGCCACAAGAGGCGGCGAAAAAAGGGTTATTTGTTACCACTGCCGGCAAGAGGGACATATTGCAGCCATTTGCCCAGTGGTGGATGAGCCTATGCAGTGTGACTTTCTGAGGGACAGACATCAGTCGCTGTTTGCGACAGTGGTATGCACTGCCAGCCCGGGCACCGAGAAACATTTGTGTAAAATGACTGTTAATGGAAATAATGTTGTTGTGTTGCTGGATTCAGGTAGCCTGGTAACCTTAATAAGAGAGGAGATGGTCCCTACTGAGGTCTCTGGGTATAAAAAGGTGGCTGTTATTTGTGTGCATGGGGACACTAGGGAGTATTCCTTGGCAACCGTGTTTTTTGAGACCCCCATAGGTAACCTGTCTCATCAGGTAGGATTGGTGCCTCACTTACCACATGATGCCTGTTAGGAATGGACTGGCCAGCAATGGTGGGACTCACCTGCCTTTTGATCTGCAGTACCAGGGCTGGCCAGCGGGTGCTCCCAGCAATCAAAGACTCAACCTTTCAGCCAGCTAACACCTGGAACTGATGATACTGGGGTATTTAAGGGATTGCCAGACTTGCAGACTCTGCCTTGGTGTTGTGTTTCTCTTGGCCCTGTATCCTGTTCCTGCTCTCTGTTCCTGTCTGATTCTCTGCTACCTGTCCTGATCCCTGGCTTGTGACCCTGACCATCTCTCTGCTTGACCCTCTGTACTACGCTGCTTGCTACCTGCTGAACCTGGCCTGTGACCCCGACCATTCTCTGCTTGCTCCCCCTGTACCTACCTGCCCTATTGATATTGACCCGGCCTGCCTGACGACGCTTGCTTGTATATACTGTTATCTGTGGGTGGTTGGTTTGGTTTGGTTGCACTGTGTTATGTTTTAGTATTACACTGCGTTTATGTTTGTATTGTTAGTGTTAATAAATTGTATTGTTTATCACATATCTGAAGTCTGCGTTTCCCTGCATCAGTCACACACCTCTGGTCATACCTGGGAGCCCTGACATTACACCAAGGCCAATCCTGACCAGAAGTGGCTCACAGGGAAGCCATCTTGGCTTGTTGATGGGAAGGATGGATCTGGATGAGGTTGAATATTTATATCTGCTAGTGTTTGATGACAGGGAGTATGCTTATCAGACTCTGAAGGAGTATACCCGGGATGAAACTGCTAGAATGTATACGGCTCGCTCATGTTCTAGTAGATCAGGGCATAGAGTTCTCTGAGGTGCAGCCTTTGATTGAAGTTTGTGCTGAATTGGTTTCATCTGGTTCCCCCGAATGCAGGGATGAATTTTTGCCACCATTTAGTGCAGACCAGGTAGAGTCCCTGGTGTGGTTATTTGAGGATGATGTGGGTTACTTTCTGGAGCGTTATTCCACATGTTCACCACAGGTACTAAGAAGAGACTGTATAAACGCAGTGCAGTCATTGACCAGACAGGCTTTGTGTAAGCTCAGCTTTGTTCAACCCATACTGCAGACATGGACAGATTTGTTGCACCCAGCCTCAGTCAGCTTACAAAGACCCAGTCCTGCTTCTAATCTATTTCCTCAAAACTCTATTCCTGCATTCCCAACAGCTCCTCCTGCCCTGCTATCTACCGCATGTCAGTACCCTGTTCCCACTCGCTGCACCTATCCTGCCTTTAACCCTGTAAAAAAGCCCTCTGTAGCAACCGCTCCCTCTCCTGTTCCATCCTCCAGTTCTTCTCTGTCTCCAGCTGCTCCATTCGTTTGCAGACCTGCGTTTACTTGCAGTGCTCCAGTAGTTAAAACCAGAAAAAAGCGAAAATTCTTTCCAACCAATACCATCCTGCCAGTATCCAAACCGGTGAGCCTGCCTTCCGTGGTTCAGCCTGAAGCCTCTCTTCAGCCTGATGCCGGTACGCAGCCTGATGCCTCTCTTCAGCCTGATGCCTGTACGCAGCCTGATGCCTCTCTTCAGCCTGATGCCTCTACTCGGCCTGAAGCCTCTACTCGGCCTGATGCCTCTACTCGGCCTGAAGCCTCTACTCGGCCTGATGCCTCTACTCGGCCTGATGCCTCTACTCGGCCTGAAGCCTCTACTCGGCCTGAAGCCTCTACTCGGCCTGAGCCTCTACTCGGCCTGAAGCCTCTACTCGGCCTGAAGCCTCTACTCGGCCTGATGCCTCTACTCGGCCTGATGCCTCTACTCGGCCTGAAGCCTCTACTCGGCCTGAAGCCTCTACTCGGCCTGATGCCTCTACTCGGCCTGAAGCCTCTACTCGGCCTGATGCCTCTACCCAGCATGATGAACTGATCCAGCCTGACGATCCTATTAGGCCAGTTGACTCGATGCCCGCTGTTGATCCAGATGATCCGGTACCTGATCCGGTGCCCGCTGTCGAGCCAAATGACCTGATGCCTGGTGACCCAGTGCCCGCTGTCATACCTGGTGACCCGATGCCCGCTGTCGAGCCAGACAATCCGGTACCTGATGACCCGGTGCTCACGGTCGTGCCTGTTGACTCGGAGCCCACTGCCTTGCCAGATGACGCGGTGCCCGCTGTCAAGCCAAATGACCTGATGCCTGGTGACCCAGTGCCCGCTGTCCAGCCAGACGATCCAATGTCTGACCCAGTGCCCACGGTCATACCAGTTGACTCGGAGCCCACTGCCTTGCCAGATGACGCGGTGCCGCCGCTGTCGAGCCAGACAATCCGGTACCTGATGACCCGGTGCTCACTGTCGTGCCTGTTGACTCGGAGCCCACTGCCTTGCCAGATGACGCGGTGCCCGCTGTCAAGCCAAATGACCTGATGCCTGGTGACCCAGTGCCCGCTGTCCAGCCAGACGATCCAATGTCTGACCCAGTGCCCGCGGTCATACCAGTTGACTCGGAGCCCACTGCCTTGCCAGATGACGCGGTGCCCGCTGTCGAGCCAAATGACCTGATGCCTGGTGACCCGATGACCGCTGTCCAGCCAGACGATCCAATGTCTGACCCAGTGCCAGCGGTCATCCCAGTTGACTCGGAGCCCACGGTTGTGCCTGGTGACTCGGTGCCCGCCCGCCCCGCCTGGGGGCCTGAGACCTGTCGTTCCGCCTGGGGGTCCGGCACCCGCCACTCCGCCTGAGGGTCCGAGACCTGTCGCTCCACCTGGGGGTCCGGCGCCCGCGCGCTCCGCCTGAGGGCCCAAGACCTGTCGCTCCATCTGGGGGTCCGGCGCCCGCCGCTCCGCCTGAGGGTCCGAGACCTGTCGCTCCGCCTGGGGCTCCGGCGCCCGCCGCTCCGCCTGAGGGCCCCGAGACCTGTCGCTCCATCTGGGGGTCCGAGACCTGTCGCTCCATCCGGGGGTCCGGCGCCCGCCGCTCCGCCTGAGGGTCCGAGACCTGTCGCTCCGCCTGGGGCTCCGGCGCCCGCCGCTCCGCTTGAGGGCCCGAGACCTGTCGCTCCTCCTGGGGGTCCGGCGCCCGCCGCTCCGCCTGAGGGCCCGAGACCTGTCGCTCCGCCTGGGGGTCCGGCGCCCGCCGCTCCGCCTGAGGGCCCGAGACCTGTCGCCACCTGGGGGTCCGGCGCCCGCCGCTCCGCCTGAGGGCCCGAGACCTGTCGCTCCATCTGGGGGTCCGGCGCCCGCCGCTCCGCCTGAGGGCCCGAGACCTGTCGCTCCGCCTGGGGGTCCGGCGCCCGCCGCTCCGCCTGAGGGCCCGAGACCTGTCGCTCCGCCTGGGGGTCCGGCGCCCGCCGCTCCGCCTGAGGGCCCGAGACCTGTCGCTCCATCTGGGGGTCCGGCGCCCGCCGCTCTTCCTGAGGGCCCGAGACCTGTCGCTCCGCCTGGGGGTCCGGCGCCCGCCGCCCCGCCTGGGGGCACGATGCCCGTCGCCCCGCCTGGGGGCACGATCCCTGTCGCCCCGCCTGGTGGCACGATCCCTGTCGCCCCGCCTGGGGGCACGATGCCTGTCGCCCCGCCTGGGGGCACGATGCCTGTCTCCCCGATGCCTGTCGCCCCGCCTGGGGGCACGATGCCTGTCGCCCCGCCTGGGGGCACGGTGCCTGTCGCCCCGCCTGGGGGCACGGTGCCTGTCGCCCCGCCTGGGGGCCCGGTGCCTGTCGCCCCGCCTGGGGGCCCGGTGCCTGTCGCCCCCGCCCGGGGGCCCGGTGCCTGCTGCTCCGCCCGGGGGCCCGGTGCCTGCTGCTCCGCCCGGGGGCCCGGTGCCTGCTGCTCCGCCCGGGGGCCCGGTGCCTGCTGCTCCGCCCGGGGGCCCGATGCATGTCGCCCCGCCCGGGGGCCCGATGCATGTCGCCCCGCCCGGGGGCCCGGTGCCTGCTGCTCCGCCCGGGGGCCCGGTGCCTGCTGCTCCGCCCGGGGGCCCGGTGCCTGCTGCTCCGCCCGGGGGCCCGGTGCCTGCTGCTCCGCCCGGGGGCCCGGTGCCTGCTGCTCCGCCCGGGGGCCCGATGCATGTCGCCCCGCCCGGGGGCCCGATGCATGTCGCCCCGCCCGGGGGCCCGGTGCCTGCTGCTCCGCCCGGGGGCCCGGTGCCTGCTGCTCCGCCTGGTGGCCCGCTGCCTGCTGCTTCGCCTGGTAAACCGATGTGCCTCTGCCCGGAGTCCTGCCCGATGTGCCTCTGCCCGGAGTCCTGCCCGATGTGCCTCTGCCCGGAGTCCTGCCCGATGTGCCTCTGCCCGGAGTCCTGCCCGATGTGCCTCTGCCCGGAGTCCTGCCCGATGTGCCTCTGCCTGATGGCCTCTGCCTGGTGTGCCTCTGCCCGGTGTGCCTCTGCTCGATGTGCCTCTGCCCGGAGTGCTGCCCGATGTGCCTCTGCCCGGAGTGCTGCCCGATGTGCCTCTGCCCGGAGTGCTGCCCGATGTGCCTCTGCCCGGAGTCCTGCCCGATGTGCCTCTGCCCGGTGTGCCTCTGCCGGTGTGCCTCTGCCCGATGTGCCTCTGCCCGGTGTGCCTCTGCTCGATGTGCCTCTGCCCGGAGTCCAGCCCGGTGTGCCTCTGCCCGGAGTCCAGCCCGGTGTGCCGCTGCCCGGAGTGCCAGTCTTTGATATCCCGCCAGTTACCAGACCCGGGCGGTGGAACATTTTGCCCAGCTAGGACTGTTTGGAGCGTCCTGAGGCCGCTCCTTGAGGGGGGGGGTACTGTTAGGAATGGACTGGCCAGCAATGGTGGGACTCACCTGCCTTTTGATCTGCAGTACCAGGGCTGGCCAGCGGGTGCTCCCAGCAATCAAAGACTCAACCTTTCAGCCAGCTAACACCTGGAACTGATGATACTGGGGTATTTAAGGGATTGCCAGACTTGCAGACTCTGCCTTGGTGTTGTGTTTCTCTTGGCCCTGTATCCTGTTCCTGCTCTCTGTTCCTGTCTGATTCTCTGCTACCTGTCCTGATCCCTGGCTTGTGACCCTGACCATCTCTCTGCTTGACCCTCTGTACTACGCTGCTTGCTACCTGCTGAACCTGGCCTGTGACCCCGACCATTCTCTGCTTGCTCCCCCTGTACCTACCTGCCCTATTGATATTGACCCGGCCTGCCTGACGACGCTTGCTTGTATATACTGTTATCTGTGGGTGGTTGGTTTGGTTTGGTTGCACTGTGTTATGTTTTAGTATTACACTGCGTTTATGTTTGTATTGTTAGTGTTAATAAATTGTATTGTTTATCACATATCTGAAGTCTGCGTTTCCCTGCATCAGTCACACACCTCTGGTCATACCTGGGAGCCCTGACAATGCCATTGTGGGGAGGGATTTTCCAAAATTCTGGGAACTCTGGGATCTCCCCCCTGCAGACCAGGAAGGTGAATCCCGGAAATCGTCTGAGTGTGGTGAGGTCTCTCCCAAGTTCCCCTTGTTGGTACTAGCCGGTGAGACCCAAGGAACTGGGGAGGAGCCCGCCTCTTCAGATGAAAACCTGCCAGCTGTTGAGTTTTTCGGACTTAGAGCTGCATAGGGAAAATTTTGCCATCGAACAGTTGAAAGACCCCACACTGATAAAAGCACGGGAAAATGTGGTAAAACTAGATGGCGAACTAGTAAGCCCTGAGAAAACTTCTGCTTATCCCTACTTCCTTGTGGAAAGGGACCTACTCTATCGAGTCGCTCAAGGTGCGGAAGAAACCATTGAGCAACTGGTGGTGCCCAGACCTTACAGGAAGTTGGTGTTGGAGTTGGCCCATGGACAGATCCTTGGGGGTCATTTGGGGGCAGAGAAAACACGGGAAAGAGTATTGCAGCGCTTCTATTGGCCTGGGGTCATTAAGGAGATAGAAAATTACTGTTCCTCTTGCCCTGTGTGTGTCAGAAGTCGGCCCCTATGCCCCATTTCCGTAGTCCACTTGTACCTCATTGAGGTCCCTTTTGAAAGGATTGCAATGGATCTGGTAGGCCCGCTGGTGAAGTCCGCTAGGGGGCATCAGTACATGTTGGTCATACTCGACTATGCCACCCGCTATCCAGAGGCGATTCTGCTCCGAAATACCTCTGCCAAGACGATAGCTAAGGAGCTATTTCTCGTTTTCAGCCGAGTGGGTATTTCGAAGGAACTGCTTACGGACCAGGGAACCCCCTTTATGTCCCGGGTGATGAAAGAGCTGTGCAAACTGTTCAAGGTAAAACAATTGCACGCACCTCTGTGTATCATCCCCAAACCGACGGGTTGGTGGAAAGGTTTCAACAAAACCAGAAACAAATGTTAAAGAAGGTGGTAGATAAGGATGGAAAGGGTTGTGATTATTTAATACCCTATTTAATGTTTTGCCATCCGGGAGGTACCCCAGTCCTCTACAGGGTTTTCACCTTTTGAGTTGCTCTATGGGAGACACCCAAGGGGGCTGTTAGATATTGCCAAAGAAACTTGGGAAAGTGAGAGGTCTCCCCACCGGAGTGTGATTGAGCACGTCGCCCAAATGCAAGATAGAATTGCCCAAATAATGCCTATCGTAAAGGAACATTTGGCCCAAGCACAGTTAGCACAGCAGAGGGTGTATAATCGGGGGGCCCAGACCAGGTCATTTGCCGAGGGAGAAAGAGTGCTAGTGCTAATCCCTACGGTGGAAAGCAAATTCCTGGCCAAATGGCATGGCCCCTATGAGGTAATTGAGAGAGTGAGCGAGGTGAATTACAGGGTCAGACAACCAGCAAGGCGAAAAACCTGAACAGATCTACCACGTTAATCTGTTGAAGGCTTGGAGGGTTCGGGAATCCCTAGTTGCAGAGGCTGGGTCACCAGCGCCATCTGACTGCTTGGTTCCGGAGGTTGGAATAGCAGTCACACTGTCTACAACTCAAAAACAGGAAGTTAAAGTGTTTGTGCTCGCAACACAGACGTTTTTTCTGAGCTGCCAGGACAAACCTCGGGGGTGGAGCATGACATTATCACCCCACCGGTGAAAGGGTAAAATTAAAATCCCAGAGGCTCGGCGGGAGGCAATACGTAGGGAAGTACGGAGAATGCTGGAGTTGGGGGTGATAGAGGAGTCCCAGAGTGACTGGTCCAGCCCCATAGTATTGGTGCCCAAACCAGATGGGAGCTGGCGATTTTGTAACGACTTTCGACAGTTAAATAAAGTTACAAAATTTGACACCTACCCCATGCCAAGGATAGATGAACTAATCGACCGACAGGGAGCAGCCCGGTACATGACAACGCTCGATTTGACAAAAGGTTATTGGCAGATTCCCTTAGCTAAGTCAGCAAAGGAGAAGACTGCATTTGTAACCCCAGAAGGGTCATTCCAGTAAAAAAGAATGCCGTTCGGGTTACAGAATGCACCAGCCACCTTTCAGCGAAAAATGGATCAGATTCTTCGCCCCCATCAGAGGTATGCTGCAGCTTACCTGGACGATGTGATTGTCCATAGCGCAGATTGGGCCT